TTTCCTTAATTTCTCTTTCTGTTTTCTCATTGTTAGTGTATAGGAATGCAAGAGATTTCTGTGTGTTAATTTTATATCCTGCAACTTTACTGTATTCGTTGATTAGCTCTAGTAATTTTCTGGTAGAGTCTTTAGGGTTTTCTATGTAGAGGATCATGTCATCTGCAAACTGAGAGAGTTTCACTTCTTTTCCTATCTGGTCTACTCACGTTTTAAAGAAAGCAAGGTCACTGCAAGTAATCCCAGTTCTATGAATATCTGAGAGTTGTTTGAACAGTCAGTGACTTGCACACCATGCGATCTCTGTTAGGCATACAAAAGTGACTAAACCGTCTTTTCACTTCTTTTGAGGAGACCTGAAACCAGAGGTTTAGGTACACCCTTGTTTTCCAGGTTAGTGTTTAGAGGAACATCGGAGTAGCAAGACACACATCCGTTCCTGTTTCCTTCTGTCTCACCGCACGCCCAGACTGTGTCAATTGCTATAACACCCAAAACGCCCAGAACGTGTTGACTCATCTCCTGTCTTTTCGTACAGTGCCCTTAGAATTTATAAGATTAGTTTTGGAAGCAAAACCAGAACTAAACTAAAAAAGTATAAACTTAAGTACTATAAAGTGATTTTCAGAGGAAATAAGTGGAAACCTTTTGTTTGAAGATTTTGACTAGATAATATTAATCTACATTGCCTTCCTCTGCCCTGCGGAGAGTGAATGATGTGTTAAGCACTTTGGATAACATTTTATGATTTTATAATATTTATCACTATCGTTGTAGCAGAAATAGCATCTATCTTCAGTAGAGTCTCAGACATATGTGACCTCCATAGATAGGAATGCTCTTCAGACTCAAAATCAGCACTGCCAAATAGAATATAACATGATCCACAAATGTGAGCCACAGCTGTAATTTGACATTTTCTAGTAACTACATTTAAAAAGATAGGACATTAATATTAATAGTGTTTTATTTGACCCATTGTATAAAAATGTTATCACTTAACATGGAATCAATATGAGCAATTATTAATGATGTCTTTTACTTGTCTTTATACTAAATCTTCCAGATCCAATGAGGGGGCTTTATAATTACAGCATATTTTAATTTATCCATTACATTTTAAGTGGTTAAAGCTAAATGGAGTTCTACCAAAACAGTAAAGTTGAGTTAAACGAAAAAGTATTTCTCAGGGTTTCCATTTGAAAGTAAATTTTTAAATATTTTTTCCTCTATTTATGTTAAAATTTCAGTGTAGTTGAGTTACAGTGGTTTCAGGCATACAGCAGAACAATACAGACATACGTGTGTGTGTGGTAAAGAACCCGCCTGCCAATGCAGGAGATGTAAGAGATGCAGGTTCAATTCCTGGGTTAAGAAGATCGCCTGGAGAAGGAAATGGCAACCCACACCAGTATTCTTGCCTGGGGAATCCCGTGGACAGAGGAGCCTGGCAGGCTACAACCCATGAGGTCACAAAGAGTCAGACACAACTGAAGCAACTGTACATAGATATATATTAAAAGAATATAAATCTATTCTTTTTCAGAGTCTTTTGCATTATGGTTTATCATAGGGTAGTTCACCGTGCTATACAGTAAGCCCTTGTTGGTTGAAAGTAAATTTTAAATTGATTAAAATTTGTTGTTCAGTCACTCAGTCCTGTCTGACTCTTTGTGACCCCATGGACTGCAGCGCGCCAGGCTTCCCCGTCCTTCACCATCTCCCGGAGTTTGCTCAGACTCACGTCCATGGAGTCGGTCCATCCAGCCGCCTTGTTCTCTGTCGTCCCCTTCTCCTCCTGCCTTCAGTCTTTCCTGGAATCAGTCTCTTCAGGAAAACAAACATGATTACCAAAGAACAAAGGGGTGAGAGTGATAAATCAGGGGTTTGGGGTTCGCAGATGCAACTGCTGTGTATAAAATAAACAACGAGTACTGATTGTATGTAGCACAGGGAACTGTATTCAGTTTTCTGTAATAACCTATAAGGGAAAAGAATCTCTACGCACACACACATAAAACGGAATCGCTTTGCTACGTACCTGAAACTAGCAGAACCTTGTAAGCCAGCTACACGTCAATTAAAATTAAAAAGAAAAGTGTTTCTTCATTTGTACAAGCGCTCAGTAGTTACACCTGGCTGGGTGGCTACACAGCTGTGCCGGCTGTTGCGCCGTGTCAACAGGGGCACAGCGATCTTGTCGTCACGAAGCCTTTATCGGAGGGTGCTTCTAAATCCTTAAATCCTTATATCTCCCATTGTACCACGTTGGGCATACTTTTATTAAGATTTACAGTCTCATGAAATTGATCTGATGGTTATGGTTTGTGATTACGTGTGTACTTTCATAATTGGTTCCCTGGAAGCTGGCCTTCCTTCAACTCCAAATATTTTAACTTCATTAAGTGGCCACGGACTAACTTCCAGCAAAAACTAGCTTTGAAGTTGATGAATTTCTATATGACGTGCCTTATAAATTACAAAATAAATGCATCCTTTAGTTTCTTCTGCTACCAAGGTCACTGTTTTCAACTTGACAGGATACAGGACGGCACTTAGGATGCCCATCTGGGTATTGTATCGTAGAGTGACATTTGCGTGTGAATTATTAGGACAGGAAAGTTGAGAGGAACAGAAATAGTAGCAGGGTTTTAAGGTTAATTTTGAATCTAGGTAGATGAACTAACACTAATGAAGGTTTTCTTCCCCAAAGATGAAGCGGCCCCACCCCACATAGGGGAGCTAATACAGAGTAACATAAAGAATAAGTCAGACAGCCTGAGTAAGTGGACATTACTCCACTCTTTATTGAGGACTGACTGTCATCAGGTCTCCTCCAGCTGTCTGGGCGTGTGGGAGCTCGGCCCCCACCTGAAAGGGTGCCAAAGACGCCTGGTAGGGTAGAGGGTTCCGTCCGGGGAGAGGGGTCCCCGGCGGGGTTAGGGTTCTGTCTGGGGAGTGGGGTCCCTCCCTGATGAGGGGCAGCTGCGTCTGCCTCTGAGGAGCAGAACTTGGGCACTGAAGCTGGGTCTCTTCCTGGTCTCTGCCGCCCGCTGGGCCCCCTGTCCCTACTGCTGGGAATTTCAGGCCTTGCATCTCCGGGAGGCCCTGGAGCAGGTGGTGGCTGATGAATGTTTGTTTTCAGCTTCTCGGCTAAAGCGGCCTCCTGAATCTGCCCTGCATCAGCCCTGTGCCCCACACTGTGCTCAGGAAAGGCCTGGTTTCCCTCGGGCCCGGCACCCCTCCAGCCCCACGCGACACCGAGAAACAGTTTTGACTTTGAGTCACTGAACATGTACCTAGGTGACAGATGGTGGAAGCTTATTACTTCCTGCGTTTTGACTGAGTTTTGAGCAGTCGTGGAGATCTTTATCTTCTCACTGAAGCTGTGGGGGGTGTGAGTGCTGTGTAGGCATTTTAAAGCAGTCTTAAGTTTTATTCAGAGGGTTCAGTGGGGGAGTTCTGCTTCTCCTCCAAAAGGGATGTGCTCTGTTCCCCTTGAATCCATCCTCCTGTTTAAAAGATGCTGCGGATTGGAGTGACTAGTAGAGTTGGGCCCGAGGGCTCTGGCAGGGTGAGCCAGCATCTGACCCGCTGGCGGTGCCTCCCCGGCGTGTCTGCAGGCCCGGTCTCGCGCTGAGGGTGCCGGTGTCGAGTCGCGTCGCGGGTGTGCCTCGTGGCGGGGCGCGCGGGCGCTGATGCTGTGGTCTCCTCCGTGCAGGTGGCTGTGTTACTGCAACGTGCCCCAGTTCTGCGACAGCCTGCCGCGGTACGAGACGGCCCAGGTGTTCGGGAGGACGCTGCTGCGCTCCGTCTTCACTGTTATGCGGCGGCAGCTGCTGGAGCAGGCGAGGCAGGAGAAGGACAAACTCCCGCTGGAGAAGCGGACTCTGATCCTCACGCACTTCCCGAAGTAAGGGAGGGCTCGTGGGGTCTTTGCGCGGTGCCACGCTTGAGATGGACGGGTATAACCGAAGCCTCGTGGACAGAACTGGGGGGGGTAGTGGCAGGACCCCCATCTTCGCAGCCCCCCTGGGAGCCTCGTGAGTGTTTCCAGCCCATCTGAAATGAGCTTGACTTTGGGTCGACTGTTCCCTTGGCCTGTCTTATCCCTCCCGATTCTCAGAGGACAGGCCAGGGCTGTGTGTGGAGCAGCTCCAGGGCAGTGGGGACCCTGCAGAAGTGGTCTCCAAGAGGTGGTGCAGGAGAGCCCGGGGCTGATTCAGGCACCCAGTTCTCCTGTCCTTCCTGTGGCCAGCGGGTCATCCCTGTCTCAGCTGGAACGAACTGGACTCCGAGGCTGGGAGCCGGCCTGGAATAGACGGATCTCTGGCAGGAGGATCTTTGTGCCTCTGTACTCAGCTTCCCAGGCACACGCGTGCCCTTGGCTCCTTGCTGCTTGAACCTGCTAGACCTCAAGCGTGTAAAGACTCACTTAAATATTTTCCAAATGTAGGAAATAGGTCAGGGGGGTAGGAAGGTACAGTGAATGCCACTGGGCTTGGAATGGGTTTTCACTGTGAAGAACGCAGACTTTAATGTAAGTGGCTGGCAGCTGAGGGTGGCAGGTGACTGGCTGGCAGGTGACTCCTCAGCTTTGTGCGGCGAGACAGGGCGGAGCTGATTCCTCCTGCTCACTCCCTCTGGCAGCCGCGCTGGTCCAGCGTGGGTGGAAGCTGTCATTTGAACAGGCTTTCTAGGTCTGAGAGAGTTCTGCCACAGACAGCTGTGAGGCGGAGAGCAGTTTAGGAGAGGTGCTGTTATGCTCTTGGAACCAAGATGGATGGAATCCTGTTTTATCCGAAATACTAGATTTTTATAATCGCTACTATTTCTGGGTTACCCAATGTATGTCTCAGGAAACATGATCATTTTAATTTTTAAAGATAAGTTAGGTCCAAAACAGCAACAAAAATGATTTTCTGATGAAAACGGACGGAACAGTTTGTTCTTACAGTTTAGCATGAATCTCCAGTGTTAGTTAGAGGATAATTCTCATGAGTTTTAGCTGAACGTGAGTCCTAGTGACCTGATTTGCAGCATTTCCTGAAGACGGCGACAACCCAGGATGAGGCAGGGCCCGAACACTTGGTGTCCTGCAGGGAGGAACGTCCAGAAGGACCTAAACAGCAGCTCGGGTGTCGTTCCTGAAGAGGTTAGGAACTCTGGTGCTCGTGTATTTCAGCGGCTGCCTGTTAACTGATCTAAGCTCCTTTCCTTAGAGATTAATGTAGTTTTCTTGTTTCTCTGTTACATCTGCCGCATAAGCCATGTTTCGTGTGTTCAGGTTATAGTTGTCTCCTGCCTCTAAGCCAGCAGACAGAGGACCCCTCCCTCGTCACACCTTTTATGGTGCTTAATGAGAGATTTTAATTATCTTGCATAGGAGCAGGTTTTTTCCCATAGCAAACTCATTTTCCTTCTTGGAGATATTTGCTAATTACGGTGTTTGTTCCTTCAGCCCGTAGTTCTGGCATGCTTAAGCTGCTTAACTGAGAAAATCAGTGCCGCTTTCTTCCTTCTCTGTTACTAATGGCAGGGTAAAGCTACCACCCACTTCTCCTTTCAGTCCCTTTCCATTGAATATGACAACACTGGAGGCTGTTAGGGGTTCATACCTGCAGACTTGGCAGCAGAATCTCGTATGCTGAAGCCAGAGGTGCCGTTTGGAGCTGGGGCCTGGCTCAGAGTCAGACTGGATTCCTCTGACCCCGTGGGGCCCCGTCCTTGCTGGGTGTCTTCAGGTCTTGCACACTTACTTTCCTGCACTCCTACGCCGCCCTTCCTTCTTTTTTCTGGCCATGCTGCTGGGCGCGGGGCCCGGGTTCCCCAGCCGGGCACTGAACCCAGGCCCCTTCAGAGGCGCAGCCCCAGCCTCTGCGTCTGCAGGGCTCCAGCCCTTCCTCCTGCTCGACCTCCCTGGTGCCACCCCACGCCCACCGAGTCACGCAGGCGTCCTGGGCGCGGGGCCCGGGTTCCCCAGCCGGGCACTGAACCCAGGCCCCGGCAGAGGTGCAACCCCAGCCTCTGCGTCTGCAGGGCTCCAGCCCTTCCTGCTGCTCGGCCTCCCTGCGCGCCACCCCCACACCCACCGAGTCACGCAGGCGTCCTGCAGAACCTCGGTGTCTGCGTTCCATTGTAACAGTGACAGAGGGACATTCGCTGAAGACCTGATTCAGAGAGAACAAAGAGGCAGGACTGCTATAGCCCTACCGTTGTGATCTACTTTCTGTGCTTTTAGATATTTCTTATTGTTTCCTCCGTGTCTTGTGTTCTTTTATTCTGTGTTCAATTTTGTAACCCCTGGATACATAATAAGCACTTTCTCATGACATTAGATGAGACTGTCTTTTATTGTATTGAAATAATTATATATATATATATATATATATATAGCACACACATGACTATTTGCCTAAATTATTAATGGCATTCTTCTTTGGTAAGTCTCCGTAGGGCTTCATGAAGTGTTCTGTTATGTAATTGCTCGTAAAGTAGGAGCCTGGGAAAGGAAAGGAAATTTACTTCTGTGATGAGGGGCGGTTGGGAAATCTTGAGGGCTGGGCGAGGTGAAGGCAGGGTCTGCTGGGCCAAAGGAGAAGATGCATCAGGAACCTCCCTTCTCCTCAGCAAGGTCAAACTGTGATCTCAGTAAGGATTTTGCCTCCGGTTGCTGTTAGTCTTTCTGTGTTAGATGAGAGACATACTGAAGTGTTTTGAAGTGTAAGTTAATGGTGACTAGCTCAGCAAAAAGTGGCCCGTGCTGTTTCTTTAAACCGTGCACCTCATGGCTGAGTGCAGGTCGACGTTCATGCAGTGGTTCCTTGTTCTTAAATGTTTGAGTATGAGAGGCCAGTCCGGAGACCCGCAGGGCCTTCCCCACCTGTCTGCACCGCCCGACCTCTCCCTGCCCTTCTGCAGTCTTACAGGCTTTGATTCATGAGGAGATTAGTGGTGCTTTCCCTAATTGTGATGACGATGATGTTAATGTTAATGTAAGTCCTTAATCAGTGACCCAAACTTGGTATGTTTCACAATTCAAGCTTTAAGGTAAACTTGACTGCTTTATAAAGGTAACAGAACACATAGACTGTATATCATAGCTTTGCGGTGGGGGCAGATCCCCCGAAGCAAATCCATTTATATTTATAAAGACTGTAAATAATCTTGCATATGTTCAGGTAAGATTTTGTTGCCAAATGGATTAGGGAAAATACTTTTAAAAGGGTTTTTGGAGTTAAAAATTTCAGAGACATTTAATTGCTAACTTTTCACATCGCTGCAGTATAAATGTCTTGCAGGCAAGGCAAGGCTGTGCTCACTCTGCCCCCCAGGGCCTGGTGCGGCACCTGGCGTGTGGCGGGCAGCCAGTGTTGGTTGAGTGAACGAAGGAGCACTTTCTCAGCGGTTGGCACCGGTTGCAGCATGACAGTGTATAGTCTTTGACACCACTGTGTGCAGAAGTTACTGTTGATGTCTCCATTTTATAAAAGGGGAACCGAGGAAGAGGAAAGCTAGGAATTTGTCCCAAGGTCACAGAAATAATAAGTGGTAACTGGGTTTTAGACCCCAGGCTCTTAGCCGTTGTTCTATATTCCTTCATGAGAATGAATGTGCCTGAAAGGTTTGCAGGAAAGCTTTCCAATACCAGAAGTATAGATTTGGGTTGGTATTTTACTCACAATCTTTTGCATTTGGGGGGAAAACACAAGAACTGTCCAAGGTACTTACCAGCATTCAGTTGCCTGGACCTTTCTCACAGCCTGCAGTTCAGTGAGCCTGGGTGGGGCTTGTGTGTCTGCATTCCAGCCACGGTGTGCAGGTGATTTCCGTGGCCCCAAAACTTGAGACCTGCTTGTTTTATAACATGACTGGAAATATAACATGGTAATTAGTCTTGGCCCTGCAGTTTACTGGTTGTGGGCCTTTGTACCAGTTATTGAACCTGCCTGTGCCCTAAGTTATTTTCATCTGTGAAATGAGTACAGTAATGGATCCTATCTCAAGGTTATTCAGAAGAGCGAGTGAGTTAATATACGTCGACTGCTTAGAACAGTGTCCATCCTATAGTAAGAGCTATGTGTACATGTGTGTGATAAATAAAAACAAAATCTGTAACTCATTGTGTTGATAAGAAGATTCAATGAAACGTTCTCAGCACAGTGTAGGCACGTGGCAAGGACTCAGTAAATATGAGCAGCTTTTGTGATGGAAATGACGACAACAGCTCTAAGGAGAGATGAGCTGTTGTTCCAGGACTCTCCCAGGGGGACTTGGTGAAATGCATTTCCACTGATGTAATTCTCTGTGTGGTCTAGGTTGTATCTACTAATACCTACATGGAGTCCAAAGAGAATACGTTTGTAGAAATGCGTTTCTATTTGAATATACCAAGGCCACCCAACTGAATCATCACCTGATGATTTACTGACTTGAGTATTTCATATTTCTGAATTGAGGATGAGATGCTAGTGTTGGTGGGATTGCCATGGGTCCTCGTAATGCATGACTTGTGATCTCACTCTTGCCTTTATTCTTGTGCCTAGGTTTCTGTCCATGTTAGAAGAAGAAGTTTATAGTCAAAACTCTCCCATCTGGGATCAGGATTTTCTCTCAGCTTCTTCCAGAACCAGCCAGCTTGGAATCCAAACAGGTAAAAAAAAAAAAAAATTTTTCTTTTTTGCATAAATCAGAACACAACCAGGAAGTGTTTGTTGCAGTTCACTGTGCATTTATTTGCATTTTTCATCAAGAAATTGAAGACTAGAGTCAGCAAAGAAAAGTAAACACTTTGCAAACCTGGCATCAACATCCCTGTTCCCGAGGCGGGCGGGTGCAAGGCAGACAGCTGAGACCGCCGCAGCCGCTGCTTTGCCCCAAGGTCTGCTCAGTCTGCCCTGCACAGCCGTGCGGAGGGCGAAGCGCCCGGCGCTCAGGTCTGCAGGCCGATGCCAACTGTTTAAAGACGGAGTCTTGGTCACAGCCTGCTTTGCAGGCACGTCTCAGTCTGCCTTGTGAGCCTGGATGTCTGTTTGGAGCATCAGGCTGCTCTCGGGTAATGGTGGGGCTGAGTCTCAGGACGTGCAGTCCCCCGTGGGCTCAGGGCCTCAGCGGGCCTTTGGTGAGGACGTGTGACTTGGAGTCACACTGACTCTGGAGCCAGGGTCTGAACTCCTGCCTTGCATGCTCAGAGCCTTGGAGAAGGCTGTCAGGAGGTCCCAGAGCAGGCATTTCCGCGTGGCCGCGGGGAGAGGCAGAACGTGGAATTTTGGTGTCGCCTTTTCAGTAGATCTGGCTCAGTGTGTCCTGGGGACTGTGAGTGCCGCCTGCAGCAAAGGTCGTTTGTTTCTGCCGTTCTCGACACCTCCCCCGGTTTGATTTTATATCCAGCGAAAGTCACCCTTAGCCACCCCTAGTGTGCGGTCCTGTGGATTCTGGCAAACGCCCAGTGCTGTATCACCCCATGGCCGTCGGCCCAGAAAGTTCCCTGCGGCGTGCTCGGCGCTGAGCTCGGCCCTGCCGGCCCGCCTCCGGCCCGTCCTTTGTTCCCGTAGTTGTGCGTTTCTAGAATGCCACACGAGTGGGATCACACAGCACGTAACGTCCGACTCTGGCTTCTTTCACTGAGCATACGGCACTGGAGAAGGTGATTAAAATGCTATTTCATCTGGAGCCTGAGTTTGGATGTGAATAAAATTAAATCCTACCCAGCAGAATACTTAGGGAATGAGGTATTTTGGTTCGTATCAAACCTTCTTTCTTTGGATAGCCTGCTTTGCAGGCACGTCTCAGTCTGCCTTGTGAGCCTGGATGTCTGTTTGGAGCATCAGGCTGCTCTCGGGTAATGGTGGGGCTGAGTCTCAGGACGTGCAGTCCCCCGTGGGCTCAGGGCCTCAGCGGGCCTTTGGTGAGGACGTGTGACTTGGAGTCACACTGACTCTGGAGCCAGGGTCTGAACTCCTGCCTTGGATGCTCAGAGCCTCGGAGAAGGCTGTCAGGAGGTCCCAGAGCAGGCATTTCCGCGTGGCCGCGGGGAGAGGCAGAACGTGGAATTTTGGTGTCGCCTTTTCAGTAGATCTGGCTCAGTGTGTCCTGGGGACTGTGAGTGCCGCCTGCAGCAAAGGTCGTTTGTTTCTGCCGTTCTCGACACCTCCCCCGGTTTGATTTTATATCCAGCGAAAGTCACCCTTAGCCACCCCTAGTGTGCGGTCCTGTGGATTCTGGCAAACGCCCAGTGCTGTATCACCCCATGGCCGTCGGCCCAGAAAGTTCCCTGCGGCGTGCTCGGCGCTGAGCTCGGCCCTGCCGGCCCGCCTCCGGCCCGTCCTTTGTTCCCATAGTTGTGCGTTTCTAGAATGCCACACGAGTGGGATCACACAGCACGTAACGTCCGACTCTGGCTTCTTTCACTGAGCATACGGCACTGGAGAAGGTGATTAAAATGCTATTTCATCTGGAGCCTGAGTTTGGATGTGAATAAAATTAAATCCTACCCAGCAGAATACTTAGGGAATGAGGTATTTTGGTTCGTATCAAACCTTCTTTCTTTGGATTCTTGTTCCCAAAACCATGTCAAAGACACCTTTTGTGTTGTGTTTTTTCACCTTAGGCCATAAAATATAATCCCACGTTTCTCTGGCTCACAGTCTGCAGCCCTCCGGGGCCTGTCTGTGTGGACAGGACTCCAGCCCGCCTGTTGACCCTTCCCGGAGCGCTCCCCGCGCCCCTGGGCTCCTGCTGCGTCCGGCTCTGCCCGTGCTGTTGGCTTTGTCTCCGCCTTTGACTTAACTGACTTTTGGATGACATCTCTCCCCCAAACCCTTTCTAATTCTCTCCATGCCTCCCGGCAAGAGCTGGGTCTCCTTTCTTCCAAACCTGGAACCTCGATAATATCCTATCCCCGGTTCTTTAGCTTGTCTGCTCGGTGGCACCGCCCACGGGATCTAAAATACTGCTGATGTCTGGGGCTTCCCTGTGGTCCAGCGGCTCAGGCTCCTCACTCCCCGTCAGGGGCCCAGCTTCCCTCCCTGGCCAGCGAACTGGATCTCACATGCCACCATGAAGAGTTTGCAGGCTGCAGCTAAAGACCCCACAATCCAGATGCATAAATACTACTAAAAAAAAAATAACCTACTGATCCTGAGGCTCCTGCCAAGAGGCTGTGGCGTAAGTGACCAAGGGCGTGGCCTTCGGCATGTTAACAGCTCCTGGAGGGTCTGATGGGCATCAGCCTGATACCTGCTGCCCTCAGCAGTCACCACGTTACCCCAGCCCCCTTTTGGTGAGTGTGACGCCTACCTGGTCAGACCCAGTTTATCTATGAGAATAGCTCACACTTCCAGTGAGTGCTGGCTGGTGAGGTTTGCTTCGGGTCTTTAAGCTCTAGCTAGAACCAGGAGAAGTTGGTGTGATTAACCCTTGTGTGTGGATGAGACATGGGAGCTCAGAGAGGAGCAGCCAGTCGCCCAAAAGCAGAGCTTTCCGAGTGACAGGACTGGGTGCCCCATTGCGTCTGATTCCCGCTGCACCCCCGTGTGCCTTGCAGACGCACAGGCGGATGCTTGTGGAAGGAAAGAGGAATGGTCGGGCGGGGACCCGATCCTGGCTCCAGGCAGGTCCAGCTAGTTCTCCGCTGGAGGGCTGGAGGGGGCCCCTCTTTGTGAAGACTTCCCTGGCCCTCCTGCTCAGGACGCCTCCCGGCCTGCCCCGCTCCCCGAGGCTCGCCCGTCCCCGCACAGCATGGAGCAGGCGGCTGTCTCTGGCCCCGGGGTGCCAGGCTCACCCCAGTGGCTCCGGCTGTCACCCAGCTCAGCTGGGGCGCGCTCCTCAGTCCCTGCTGCCATCAGGAGCCGGCCGACTTCCGTTCGGCTGTGACTGCAGCGTGTGCTCTGGGGGAGAGAAAAGGGCAATCGTCTCCTTAATTGGCACGTCTGCACACCCAGGCACCTGTGAGAAGCGACAGTCACAGTGACGGCTCTGAACTTCGGCGAGGTTCTCAGATGTCTTGTGAGTCACCAGAGCTTCCTCTTTGTGTGGAAGCCCTGAAATTCAGGAGGCCTGTTTGCTGGAACGAAAGGCCTGCAGCCTGGCGCTTCCGTCTCCTCTGATTCCTTCGTGTGCGTGCATCTGAGGAAGTCTCACCTATATATGGCTATTTTTCTTTTTAACACTTATTGTTGATGGCCTGTATGAGAAAAGAATGTAAAAAACAGTGGATGTATGTAAATGTCTAACGGATTCACCTCGATCTGTACCTGAAGCTAACACACATTGTCGATCAGTATATTCCAGTTCTTTACATACCGGTTGCTGTTCAGTTAGGAGCTGTGTGCCCGTGTCTCTGTAGCTAGTTTTGCTTCTTTCACCACTCTTGGCTGTGGGGGCGTCCCCGCACCGAGATGGCGTGCTCTGGGGCCTCTTGTCTGCGAGGTCTGTGTGCGGTGTCGCTGACGTCTGTCCTGCCATCAGCCACGCACGAGCAAACAACGTCCTACTTCCTACCTTGGCTTTTTCTTTTTCTGTAAAGGCAAAACAAAATGGTTTTGTTTGGAGACACTCTTGAACTTACAGAAAAGTTACAGGACCAGGACAAAGCAGTCCCGTGCTGTGTATTTTCTGTTCCAGACTCAGCAATTGTTAACGTTTGCCCTGTTGCGCCATCATTTCTCCTGCTTCTGTCTCTCTCCATGTTTATTAACGTGTGTGTACCTTTCTGTCTTCTGAACGATCTGTCGGTTACAAAGGTCACGCCCCTTTGCTGACTTCAGTGGGAATCTCCTAAGAGCAAGAGGGTTTTCGTATTTAACCCCAGCACAGTTATCACAGTGAGGAATTTTAACCTTGATGCCATATTATTCCTTAATCTGGCTTCTGTTTTTCATCCTTCCTCTTATCTCAGCCATGCGGTTCACAGCCATTTTCTGTCACATCAGGAGGCACGTAATGTTGGCTTCTCCCATTATCACTGGTGTGAAGTTTGTCACTGAATTAAGGTGGGGTTTTTGAGATTTCTCCACAGCAGTGTTAACTTTTCTGCTTTGGTAATTTAAAAAGAAAAAGGTACTTTTGTGGGGAGATACTTTGAGGCTATTCTATCTTTATCAAAATTGCAGTCACAAGATTCGGTCTGTACAGATGCTTCTTCCCTGAATCAGTCATTATGTGCTGGCTGCTCCCTAACTGCCCCCCCGCCCCACGACTTTCTTTTTTTTTTTAATAGGCTAATTACAACATTGCAGTGGTTTTTGTCATACATTGAAATGAATCAGCCATGGATTTACATGTATTCCCCATCCCAGTCCCCCCTCCCACCTCCCTCTCCACCCGATCCTTCTGGGTCTTCCCAGTGCACCAGGCCCGAGCACCTGCCTCATGCACCCAATCTGCCGCCCCACGACTTTCATCATTGCTTCCTTATTTGTTGGCATTCTCCTGTAAGGAGAGTTTTACCTTCTCCCAATTATTTATTTGTTCATTTCTTATATTATTATCACTGTGGACTCAGATATCTTTATTTTATCCAGTGGGTTATAATCTGCCCTTGTCTTTATTATCAAGCTCACATTGGCCCCACAGTGTCTGTCTTAAAGATGACTGCTTTGGGGTGCTGGACAGGAGTGGAATGGTCTCGCGTGCACTTGGTTCATTACTACCCAAGAAAGACGTCATTTAATGCCTTCTCTTCCTTCTCCCGGGGGCAGTTATCAGTCCACCTCCTGTGGCCGGGACAGTGTCCTACAATTCCAGCTCCACTTCCCTTGAGCAGCAGAATGGAGGGAGCACCAGCCCATCCTGTCGAGGCGTGTCCGGGCTTGAGACAAACCCAGGTAAGCTCAGAGGGCATCAGCGAGGACTGTGATTTGTCTGAGAAGCTCCGTTATCTGAGGAGTGTGAAAGGGAGCCTTAAAGCAACTGCATGCTGTGCGTATCAAGGATCTTAATGGCTGGAACTCCCTCTGAGCTGCATTGGTTAGTTATTGCTATTTAACAAACCAACTTGAGACGCAGAGTCTCAAATTGTGATCCTTTATTATCATAGCTCACTCATTCTGTGTGCTGCCTAGGAGGTGGCTGATATGGTTCGTCTCCTTCAGGCTATGCTCGCATAATTCTCGTCCTCCTTTGAGGACCACTGGATTTTTCCTTTCCTTGGGGCAGAATACGTCCTTATGATGATGGCAGAGACACCAGAGAGCAGGAAGAAATGCAGCTTCCTGCAGCTTAAGCTCATAGCTGGTACACCATGATGCCTAATCTTATTTTGTCTTTGGAAGCGAATCATGGGGTCAGACTCAGAATCAAGGGGTTGGGAGATGCCCTTTACGCGTTTTGTAGGAAGAGCCACAGAATCATTTGGCAGAAGCTGGATACAGGAGGGGAAAGAATTTGGCCATGAATGTAATCTGCCACGTAGGCAAAAAAATCTCTTAATGCTAGAGGTGTTTCGCAGTTATAGAATGTTCCGAAGGCCGCGTTTGTGTCCACAGTCATGACGTTAGACACATCTCAGCACGAGTGAAGCTTGACACTGAGAAGTCCCGTGAGATGGGGAGAGGAGAGGGTTTTCTGTGAAGGGCGAAGCGTGCAGCACTGGGCCACTTCCAGGGGAGGCGCTACTGACTATTCTGGAAACTCTGCCGTTGAATTCAGATATAGCCCAGGGTGCTTTCTCATTGCAGCACTCAGCAAGCTATCCAGTTTGGGGCATATTGGGTATAAACCTTAGCTCCAAAATAAATAGTTCACACCATTATTCTTGTGGAATTATGGGATTTGAAGAGTTGATCAAATGAAGGAAAATATTCTCACTCACCTCCAATAATAACAACTAAAGAGTTATAAAAATACAACTCAACAAAAGCTGTTTAGTAAGTTGCCTCATATTTGGAAAAGCATCTTGTGTGGACGAGATGCTTGACACTGCTGCTGCTGTTTAGCTCAGGATGGTGTGAATGCTTTACGGAGCCTGCTTACTGGAATTCACACCCGAGGAATCAGTTGGATTTGAGCATTTAAAAATTTAATTGTGAAAATAAATACGTTATGACAGAAGGAAAAAAAAGAAAAAGAAAAACCAAACATGATGGTAGGACAGAAAGCGGCCGTGTAATCTAAGGAGGAAAGTCGGGGAGAGTTCTCCGTGATTTTGCCTGGCCTTTTCCAAGCTGTGATATATTATGACATCTAGGAATGAATGTACCTACTTCCAAGGCCAGGGGCCCTGCTCACTTTGTGAGGCATCATTTTAAGGCAAAAAAAGGATTGTGAGAGATCATGAGGGTCATTTTGTAATGACAAAAACTAAATTCACCAGCAAAGTGAAACAGTTCATGAGTGTATTTCCAGTATATGTAGCCATACACACACATATATAACATTCATCCACAGATGTATATATACATACGTCCATGCAAACATATATGAAAGAAAGACTTAACTATAAGGAGAAATGATCAAATCAACCAGAAGTTGAATACTTGAAGAAACATCTCTGATTAATTCATAGATCAAACAGACAAAGCTATCAGTAAGGACAGAAGCCCCACAAACACAATCAACACGTAGAGAGCACTGAAAATCGGGAAATGTATTTTCCCGAATGTGTACATTCTTTCCAAGAAGATGCTTAATTTACAAATAATTGGTCAAGTTTTAGGTCATAACTCAAGTTTCAAGAAATTTTGACCTTTGGTATCTTAAGGGCCATATTCTTCTGACCACAAAGGGACAATTAATCTCTAACATGGAGGTCAATAACCAGTGATAATTAGACTCCCCCCTCAATATGCACATGAAGGAGCAGTGCCTTAATAACTCACGTGTCAAGTTAAAAAACTTAGTGCCGAGAGCAAATGCTCTTTAGAATGGTGGGCACTTGGGGGACTCCCTGGTGGGCCAGCAGTTAAGACTCTGTCCCAGTGCAGGGGGCAGAGATTCAGTCCCTGCTCAAGGAAATCCCACATGCTGCCCAGCCAATAAATAAGTAAAGTAGAAAAGAAAAAGAACAGTGGGCAGTTACTGCGGCCTCCTCTTTCCCACCTTCTGCTGCACCGCTCCTCCCTGGTACACGGAGGGTTGATGTCCACACCTGTCAGTGTTATTAGAAAATCAGTTGGATTAGTTGGCACATGCTTTGTGTTTAAAATAACCCACCGTTTGCCCTTTTATTTTGATCATCAAGGAGAAAAGAGGAAAATGAACGACTCTCATATTTTGGAGGAGACCAAGAAGCCCCGGGTGATGGGCGATATCCCACTGGAGTTAATCCACGAGGTCATGTCCACCATCACAGACCCCGCGGCAATGCTTGGGCCAGAGGTCAGCAGGGGGAACGCGAGCCGCCTGCGGGCGGGCCCTGTCCACCCCGTAGCCGCTCCTGCTGCTGGGGACGGGGTGGTGTTGCTGAGGGAGCTGTGCGCCCTGTTTGCATGTTGTCTGGGGCTCAGGGTGGAGAGGCAGGCAGGCTGATGAGAGCTTAATTCCGCTGATGACAGCCACGTCACGGGGAAACATAATCCCCACCGTTGAAGGCATTCCTCTTGCTTCAGCTTTTTATCTTGAAAAATTGAAACCCTCATAAATGTTGCAAAAATTCCGTGATAAAGATCCAGAGTCTCTTTATTTAGACTCACAAATGGTTTGCATGCCACGTTCACTGTCCCTCTGTCTCCCTGTCCATGTGGAACCATTTCAGAATTAGATACAGATGTTGTAACACTTCACCCCTAACTTTTTTGCATGTGTCTCTGAAGGCTGAAACTATTCATTTGCATTCCCACAGTGTAGTTATCACCACCAGAAAATTTAGCTGAATTACAATATCATCTAATGTGTGGATAGGCAGTCCACAGCCTGGGTACCAAACCCAGCCCACTTGCTGGTTCACTCTTGGCCTAATGCACAGCCCACATCCAGACTTCCCATATATCCACATTCTGTTGTTTATCATATATCTTCCTGTTGTTGGAGGATCCGTCTGGGGTCACATTGCATTTAATTCTGATCTCTTCACCTCTTTAGTCTATTTAGTTTATTCTAGAACAGTTCCCCAGCTCTCTTTTGGCCTTTTGTGGCAGCACCATTGTTGCAGAATCCTGCTTTGGCATAAGGCCTCTGTATTTGGCTGTGTCTGTTTACTCATGATTAGATGCAAGTAAAGCCTTTGGGGCAAAAGGACTGCTGTCATCTCGTGTCATATCCAGGGGCAAAGCAGTTTAAGACGTTTCTGACAGCTTCCAGGAAATGAAGAAATGAGATGATTTTTCAAAACATCTGTAAAAAATTTTTTTGAGAATGGCTCTGCTGGGTGAAGGTATCCATGTTTAATTTGTCATGTTTCCTTAGAGATTTATTTTGTGCAGTTGAGGATAATGCACAGAATTGGAATGCTGTTAAGAGAGCGATCTCCTTGTAAGATTGTTCTTTCCATTTCCTTCTAGGTATCCAGTCCTTGGGACTTGGGACTATAGTACCTTTTGTGTACATGTCTGTCGGGGATTTAGTAGCTTCACAGAACAGTTTTGCTCAGTTTGTTTCGGCTGTGAAGTGTGGATGTAGTCACACATTTCAGGATTTGTTGGGTGGATTTAGTGGTGTCCTGAAGTTGCCTTGTACTGGTGTGCACAAGGCAACTGTGAAATTTTCAGGAATTTTGTGAGATGGTTGTTAAATGTGTTGGAAGCTTGAAATTGGCCATGGTGGCCGCTGGGTCTCCAGGTCAGCCATAGACCAGTGAAGCCGGAATGTTCCAGCAGCTGGCCCTTCTGCCTTGGGGGTCTGTGTGTTGAACACTGACCTGCACCCACTGCGTGGGTTAAATAGGATGGGGTGCAGGGTGCTGGGAGGAGGTTGTGCTGCCTGCTGGGGTTGAGAGTGGTCAACATGACACGTTTGCAAAGAAGAGTCTCATCCTATGAAAAACAGGTGCTGGTAGTATAGACGTGACTGCCGCTCGTGGGCCTGCAGGGAGAATTTGGGGTCTGTGACCCCAAGGGTGCTCAGCTAGACGGGAGTCCCAAAACCAAGGGCTGGCAGGCTGGAGCACTCAGGAGAGAAAGTCTGCCTCCCCCATTAAGTCAAGGCCTCGGCGCTCTGCCCCGCCCACGCGTGTCCGCCTGGCCTCCCCCGCGTTCACCCCACTGCGATGTCCGCGTGGTCCTGGCTGCCTTCACCCTGCCGCAGTGTCTGCAGCTGCCGCAGAGGCCTCCTGACTTGCAGATCCGAACATGAGCTGTCTGGCCCTTCAGAGAAAGTCTGGTGATTCCTGGTCTGTACCGAGTGTCCATGGACACGGGGGAGACTCTGGTCCGGCAGAACGCTCTGCCTAGCTGTCTGTTCTGTTTTCATGGCTTGTGTGTTATTGGTTGGGACCCTGAAACCCACAAATAGGTATCTTATTAGCGCACGGAGGAGAGGCGCTGCCGTGAACTGTCCCTCCCGTCTTAGGGAGGGGCTCCATGTAACCTGTCTCCTGCTCCCAGACCAACTTTCTGTCGGCGCACTCGGCCAGGGACGAGGCGGCCAGGCTGGAGGAGCGGCGGGGTGTGATCGAGTTCCACGTGGTGGGCAACTCCCTGAGCCAGAAGCCCAACAAGAAGGTGCTCATGTGGCTGGTGGGGCTGCAGAACGTGTTTTCACACCAGCTGCCGCGCATGCCCAAAGAGTACATCACGCGGCTCGTCTTCGACCCGTGAGTCCTGCCCCCGCTTTGCTTCCATCCCTTTGCTTTCCGCTTTCCTGATTTATTTTGTAAAATGCATTGTTTTTCAAGATTTTTTTTCACTTAAAAAAAATTATTTACTTTTAATTGAAGGATAATTGCTTTACAGAATTGTATTAGTTTCTACCAAACATCAACATGAACCAGCCTTGAAGATTTTTTTTTGATGTGTACCATTTTTTAAAGTCTCTCTTGAATTTGTTGCAATATTTTTTCTGTCTTATGTTTTGGTTTTTAGACCCCAAGGCAAGTGTGATCTCAGCTCCCTGGTCAGGAATCAAATGGGGGTTTGATCCCACCCTCTGCGTTGAAAGGTTAGGTCTTCACTGGGCCACCAGGGACCTCATTCTCCTTTTTAAATGAAAGAGGAACCGCTCGGGTAGTGGAAGTCAGTCACAGTCACCCACCAAGTCCTGCTGCTTGTCGTCAGCTGTGCGGACAGTGTGACGTCACAACCGCGGCCATGGCCAAAGGCGTTCAGATTAGTTTTCCAGCAGCTGATCAATTTTTTGTTAATGAGGCTTTATATTTTAAGCTGCTAGTGACCATTATGTGCTTCATTCGTTGCATTAGTGAAGGAATATATAAACATTAAGAGGATGTCCCAGTTTTCTCACAGTCAAATATTCTGATTTTCGCATCTTAAGTAGATTCCGTTCTTGCCTGAGTCTATAAGCCCTGGCAAGATTATTGTGGTGTTAGGTTAACTTTGATCACCCATTGCATTAAAAATAAGGAAAAGACAGGAAAGGAAGCTTCCGTAATTGAATGCATTTTAACATACAGAGCCCAGTCACCTGTGTGGACTGTGACCCATGCCCATGACTGTTCAGAGCGACATTTTAGGCAGAAGGCCTGACGGGAGTCTGGAGGCCTGGTTTTAGCAAACCGTGCAGGTGGATTGTGTTTTCTCTCCCCTATAGCTTCTGTGGCGTTTCTGAGTGAGAGTGAACGCTTCAGAAATGTGCACTCAGGTCCCTGGCTTTTGCTCTCCCTGGGCTGCCGTCCCGGGCTCATGGGTGTCGGACGTGACCCTGTTTCAGCGCCAGTCAGTGCCTGTCCACGGGCTCTGTCCTTTGCCTGGGGGCTCAGACCCCCCTCAGGTGGCTGGCATTTGGTCCTCAAGAAAACTCTGGGGACGTCTTGGGTGGCAAGCTTGCTCTAAGACATCCACTTAGAGAATGTTCTAAGTGAGATGGTGACCAGGCAGATGCGGTTTCCACAGAAAAGTCAAGAAAGAACCCCCCTTCCTTCCGGTTTTCCTGACTTGTTAATGAGGAACACCCCAAACAGGAGGTGAAACGGTGATGCAATCTTCATCTTCCAGGAAACACAAAACCCTTGCTTTAATCAAAGACGGCCGTGTCATTGGCGGTATCTGCTTCCGGATGTTCCCGTCCCAGGGCTTCACAGAGATCGTTTTCTGCGCCGTAACCTCTAACGAGCAAGTCAAGGTAAGGCTCACCCAGGGTCTCGGAGGAAACGCAGGACGTGGTGCTTTGCACGAAAGCCGCAGAGCGTGGCAGGTCTCCACGTCCAGAGAGTCCCGGACTCTGAGGAGTATCCTCTCACTGCGAGTGTGTGTGTGTGTGGAGGGTACACGCCTCCACACACCCACAGTCCGTCTCCACCGGGCTTTGTCGGACCTCAGGGTCGGGGCCGGGGCTGCGGACACCATGCAGCCCCAGGGGCAGCTCAGGTTTAGTTTATGGCCCGTGAAGAGCTGTCTGCAAACACTCTCAGTGGTGGTGGTGATTTCCATGTGCAGACGTGTCCACACACGCCTGGGGGCACGGCACCACCAGAAGGGGTGTGGTGCCATGTGGGTTAGGGAGAGGCCTGAGGCCGCTCAGACCTCAGAAAGATTCCTTAGGACCTCGTGCCTGGAGTGAGGGGACAAGGGCTAAAGAAATCCTGTCGGGGAATTGATGAAAAATGTGAATAAAGGTATGACTGGGTTTCAGAAGTACTCATGCAAGGTTTGGAACGTGGGTCTTTTGGGGAGTGTGAGTGTGTGAGAGACTGATTTGTATGCGTGTGAGAGAGATGGACCTTTGTGAGTGTGTGAGAGACTGATCTGTGTGAGTGTGTGATTCTGATCTGTGTGAGTGTGAGTTTGATCAGTTTGAGTGTGAGTTTGATCTGTGTGAGTGTGAGAGACTGATCGGTGTGAGTGTGAGAGACTGATCGGTGTGAGTGTGAGTGTCAGATCTGTGTGGGTGTGAGAGTCGGGTCTGTGTGGGTGTGAGAGTCGGGTCTGTGTGGGTGTGAGAGACTGATCTGTGTGGGTGTGAGAGTCGGGTCTGTGTGGGTGTGAGTCTGATCTGTGTGAGTGAGTGTGAGAGACTGATCTGTGTGGGTGTGAGAGTCGGGTCTGTGTGGGTGTGAGTGTCGGGTCTGTGTGGGTGTGAGTCTGGTCTGTGTGTGTGAGTGTGAGTTTGATCTGTGTGAGTGTGAGTTTGATCTGTGTGAGTGTGAGTTTGATCTGTGTGGGTGTGAGAGTCGGGTCTGTGTGGGTGTGAGTCTGGTCTCTGTGGGTGTGAGTCGGGTCTCTGTGGGTGTGAGTCGGGTCTCTGTGGGTGTGAGTCGGGTCTCTGTGGGTGTGAGAGTTGGGTCTGCGAGTGTGTGTGACTCTGACTCGCCCTCCTAGCTGTCCTGGGCACAAGTCTGTCCCCAGGAGCCAGACTGCCGCGTTAGCCGCGCGGCTGGCTTCGCCGTCTGCCGGGAGTGGACCAGACCCCTCGTCGGCAGGAGGATCTCGGTGATGTTGCTTTCATGAAAGTGGAACCGGAGATGTGTCTTCAGAGGGTTTGGTACTTGGGGAGTCCTAAAGTCATACAAAACTGTGGCATTTGGTGGAAAGATAAGTAGCTACTGAATCAGTAGCTACTGGATAACGTATTGGAAAGTCTAAGGCAGTGCTGTCCAATGGTCTATAACATGATGTGCCCACTTCAGCCACATATGAGTTTAAATATTCTGTTAGCTACATTGAAAATACGGAAAAATAATTCTAAAAATATATACTGTATTTCACTCAGTATATGCGAAGTGCTGTCCTTGCAGCAGGCACTCAGGCCCGGGATTATGGAGACTCTTTACATCCTTCGATTTGTACCGAGTCTCTGGAATCCACACTGTGTTTTAGACTGCACCTGCCTTGCTCTGGACTAGGGCTGTCTGGGCTTGGACAGTGCGGGCCTAAGGACACTGTTGCCTTCTTCAGTTACCATGAAGCAATGCCAGATACAGAAACCGAAAGCGAATGATCTCTGGAAGGAATCGTGCTTGGCCTGGGGGCCGCAGCCAACACTGAGGGCGCTTTTGGCTTCATTAACAGCTCAGCTCTGTGTCACAGTCACTGTGCCGACGACAACAGCTGTGGGCTCCTCTCAGAAAGCACAAAAGGGGCTTTTGACGTTGACTCACAACGTGAAGCATCCAAGGGCAAACAAAATGCAGCAGTGTCACATTCATCCTTCTGACTGGGGGAGGTGAGGGCACACGTTTGCATGAGACTGACCTCTGCCCCTGTGTGGGGGTGCTTTGGCGGTGTGTCTTCAGGTGGTCTGCTCGCTATGCCTGTCACAGGTTCATTTACCCCTGGCCAAACTGAGAGACAACTCCAGGGTCCTGAATTTAGGAACTCGCTTAAAGAAAATTTGGTTGGGCTTTTTGTAGGGAGAGGAACTTGAAAATATGCCCTTGGTTTATAATTTCAGAAGAAGATTGCATAATATTTGTTTGCACAGAAAGCTACACCAAGCAGCTTGTTTGGAAAGGTTGGTTAAGGTTGCCTTGGACACTTTTAGGATTCCAGAGGGTAACTAAAGGTGCTTAATATGAATCAGATGCTTTGTCTTATTACTTCCCAGAAGGGTAGTGTATTTTTTTTTCCCCCAAACCATGTAATTTTCTAAAGACTTAAAGGAAGGTGGCCAAATCACAAACTGAGCAGGAAAAACAAAAAGAAAAGCCATTTTTTGTAAGTGACTTGAAAGTAGTTTTAGCAAATTAAGATTAACCTTTAAAAACTGAATAGAATGGATGAATCTGGTGGAAGCCAATGGCGCTAGCATTTATTTGTGAAAACAGCAAGATCATAAGTGGAGGATTACAATTTTGATCTGAGGTATTAAAAATCTGGGCTAAATGGTACTTTAAAATTTGCATCCACTCATTTTAGAGACTTAAGCTTATATATAAATTCTTGTAATGCTTCAAATAAGATTTTTGTGTGAGTTTATCTTGCTTAGAACACATACAAGATAACATTTGAGAATTTACTTAAAGCACCTAACCAGGTTTTAAAATAGATTATCTAACTATTTGGTTTTGACATTATATGCAACTTTAAAGTTACAGGGCTAATACTTATTTAACCATAATAAGTATTTAAATAAACACTGAAGTTACCAGGTGGATTTGGAAAGGAATCCTTTTGGTGACAGTTGAAGTGAAGTGAAAGTTGCTCAGTCATGTCCGACTCTGTGACCCCATGGACTATACAGTCTATGGAATTCTCCAGGCCAGAATCCTGGAGTGGGTAGCCATTCCCTCCTCCAGGGGATCTTCCCAATCCAGGGATCAAACCCAGGTCTCCTGCGTTGCAGGCGGATTCTTTACCAGCTGAGTCAGCAGGGAAACCAAGAATACTGGAGTGGGTAGCCCATCCCTTCTCCAGCTGATCTTCCCGACCCAGGAATCGAACTGGGGTCTCCTGCATTGCAGGTGGATTCTTTACTAACTGGGCTACCAGGAAAGCCCATGACAGTTGAAAATAAAGGCATGCAAAGAGGAGAAACAGTGCTGGGGTGAAAAATCTAAGCATTTTCACATATAATAGCTTAACTCTGTTACTGCTTCTTTAAACAAGCAGATATTTGAGCTTCTACTACTGCTGGTCACAATACTAGTCACACAGGATTCAAGATGAAAGACAGCCCCTACTCACAAGTAGCTGGAATCTGGAAATTCTTTGGAGAGGTGACGGATCAGTGGCCAGCGATAAAGACTATCTCATGCAGATTTTGAGATGCTGCTAACAGAACTATTATTGTTCTTCTTGAGTAAAATCCTAGGATTGTGGATGAAGGGGAGAAAATGCATAGTTCTGTTCAGTTCAGTTCAGTCGCTCAGTCTTGTCCAACTCTTTGCGACCCTATAGACTACAGCACACCAGGCCTCCCTGTCCATCACCAACTCCTGGAGTTTACCCAAACTCATGTCCATTGAGTCAGTGATGCCATCCAACCATCTCATCCTCTGATAAATCCATTATTAACAATGTCAGTGATATATTAAGATGAAAAAATGCAGAATATTGCAGAACTAGACATTCCCAGGGGAAAACTACCTTCTAATAGTTATTGAGTATATACCAGGTACCTGGAATTGATTTTTACATGCTGGAAATACAACAAAGAGGAACCCCCCTGGAGGTTCAGAGGTAAAGAATCTGCCTGCAACGCAGGAGGCGCAGGAGACCTGAGATTGATCCCTGGATTGGGAAGACCCCCTGGAGAAGGGCATGACAACTCACTCCAGCATCACCGCCGGGAGAATCCCATGGACAGAGGAGCCCATGGATTCTAATAGTTTTATTAGCTCCTTACAAGGTGGCGTATACAGCAAAAGCCTGTCTCTTCCAACCGCTGCATCTAGGTTTCATTAGAAGACTCATTTCTTACTGATCCCTAGACATTACTATTCCTCTGCACACGCAGTAGCAAATCCTTCCCTTTTCTCCAGTTTTTTCCCCCACTTTTCTTTAAAAACAAGATTTAATTTGGTAGGTCATGTAGAAATACATTTCCATGTAAAGCAGAAATCCCACCCGCAGTCTCCCGTCTAGCCCATCGCCCTTCCCAGCGTGCTGTCCATACGCTTGTTCTGCACCTGTGCCTCTGTTTCTGTTTTGCAGACATTTTCTATTTAACTGAATGTGTCCAAAATACAGTCATTTCAGTATGTAATAAACGTTGTTAATGAGAGGTGTTTTTTCTGTGGTGTGTATTTTACACTTGGACACCTCAGTTTGGACTTACCATATTTCCGTTGCTCAAAAGCAACACATGGCTAGTGGCTGCTGCTTTGAGCAGCTACTCGTGTACTGTAATTATGAGTTTTATGTGTTTATTTTCCCCATTTTACTCTCTTCTCCTTAAGAGAGCTTTCCTTCATTCTTCAGTCTGAGTTATATTCATACTTGCAGAGTGTCAGTATTGTGACATGTTTGGGAAAAGCTAACATGTCTATGGTCAATACCAATGAAAGAATAGTTTCCAGAATAGGAAGACAGTTGTACTCTTTCCCTATGTACTGGTCAGATGATCCCCTGGATGTTATGCTTGGTTTGGGGATCCGTGCTCTAGAAGTGTATTGTTACACAGGAGCAAGCCTTGAACGATACGAGTAACGTTGAGATGGGGTCTCCAGTCATGCGTGCGAGGCAGGACTGAAGCCTCGATGAGGCGGGACCTGGGACCTGGGAGGTCGGGATGGACATGGGTGATTTTCAAGGGCTTAGGGAGTTGTTAAGAGCAGGGAAGAGTCACTGTTATTCTAGGAGCAGAACTAAGGTCAACAGAAAAAACAAGGGGTCAGATCACAGGTGAAAATTAGAAAGAACTTCCCACCCACAACAGTGGCTGAAAACGAACTGGTCCCAGGACTCAGTGAGCACCGTAAGCTGGAGGTTTTCTAGCGGCTGACCTCCCCGAGGTAGATGGCAGAAGACTCCTAGCTTCACATGGGGAAGAATTAGACCAAAGGACTGCCAAGACCCTTCTCCAATATGGTGCTGTAGTTCCATGATGTCATACCTGTGAGCCTCTTTTGAGTTCTTTAGAAAAATGTGTCATCAAATTCTAAAATATTGATGTAAAGGTATTCGTGTCTGGGTTTACTTTCATCTTCTTTTTATGAGATTCTCAAACCATCCCTTTAAATCTATACATTTTCTTTAAGCTTTGTCCATCACCAAAAAACTTTACTTTTTTTTTCATATTTCAATCATTAATTTATTCAACATTGTTCACTATTTTCACTGCTGTTGTTCAGTTGCTAAGTCATGTCCAACTCTTCACGATGCCATGGACTTTAGCATGCCAGGCTTCCCTGTCCCTCACCATTTCCCAGAGTTGCTCAAATTCATGTCCATTGAGTTGGTGATGCCATTCAACCATCCCATCCTCTGTCACTGTTCTTAGTTACTTCCTAATGTCTTCTGGCTCACTCAGCACATCGGGGCTCCTCAGACTTTGCTGGGAAAGGTCTGAAAAGACCAAGATGAAAACCCTTTGTGTGTGATGATACAGTTCTTTGAAAGGATTGATGATTTGTTTTATATAGGAAACACTTGGATTAGTTAATATTCTAGAAAAGGTTAGCCCTTCTCATTTACATTGCTCTTTTGATCTCAGGTTCTCAAATACTCTAAACATAAGCAGAAATTCATGATCAATATTTACTCCAGACACCTCTATTAATATTCAGCCTGTAATCTCTAGGTGTGAATGAGCAGCTTGTAGCTTTGGTATATTCTTTTCTAAGAGCCAGAAACTTGTGTTTTTAAGTGATGATTGTATTTTGATTCAACAATTATGAATTTTTTGGCTTTGCAGCTCATTTTCAAAGTTCAGAAACTCAAGAAGGGTATTGGTATTACATTGGTAATACATATGCCTAAATTTGCCAGTATTTCTCAGTGAAAATGTGGGACTTTCTTTTGTCCAGAACGTAATATATTTGTCTGTATACTGACTTGCCCATAGGGCTATGGAACACACCTGATGAACCACCTGAAGGAATACCACATAAAACATGACATCCTGAACTTCCTCACCTATGCAGATGAATATGCAATTGGATATTTCAAGAAGCAGGTGGGTTTTTCGGCTGTGCAAACCTGTTCTGCCCTTTCTTTTCTTGATATGCACTCAAGTAGCTTTCATGCAAATAAGTCCTCTCCCCAGCAGTGTCTTTTCCTTATAAGGACACACATTTATTTTGCAAGCTTTAAGCCAGAGGTAAACTTCAGTCTGGATTAGAGGCTGTGACCAGCACACCATCAGTACTAAATAAATGTTTGAGTGAATGAAGGGATGTCATCTGTGAGTGGGGTGCACTGTTGCACCCCGACAGTCTAAAACGTGGTCTCCCCAGGCTGAGGGGGGTTCACATTGGGGGACTGGAGTTCACCTTGAATGAGAGAAATAGATTTAATCTCTGGAAGGCAGAGTGCGTTTCTGATGGCCGAGAGGAAGTTCTGACGTCACAGAGGGCTCCAGACAGTCCTGCTCCGTCAGCTTGTGGATGGCTGGGCGCTTAGCCGCATCTTAGTTCTTTCTACTAGAAGTTTCATCTCAGCCCTCTGAGGATTCTTCTGTCTCTTTGCCCTTGTGGCTCAGTATGTGGGACCCTCCTTCCCCGACTGGGTGTAAAGTCCCTGCAGTGGAAGAGTGGAGTCTGAACCACTGGACCAGCAGGGGGTCCCTGCCACATGTTTTTAATAGTTTAATAGAGCTCTGTCGTCCTGGATCCCTAAGCACTGTCCGTTTACTCTGTTTAATAGAGCTCTGTCGTCCTGGATCCCTGAACACTGTCCGTTTACTCTGTTTAATAGAGCTCTGTCGTCCTGGATCCCTAAGCACTGTCCGTTTACTCTGTTTAATAGAGCTCTGTCGTCCTGGATCCCTAAGCACTGTCCGTTTACTCTGTTTAATAGAGCTCTGTCGTCCTGGATCCCTAAGCACTGTCCGTTTACTCTGTTTAATAGAGCTCTGTCGTCCTGGATCCCTAAGCACTGTCCGTTTACTCTGTTTAATAGAGCTCTGTCGTCCTGGATCCCTGAACACTGTCCGTTTACTCTGTTTAATAGAGCTCTGTCGTCCTGGATCCCTCAGCACTGTCCGTTTACTCTGTTTAATAGAGCTCTGTCGTCCTGGATCCCTGAACACTGTCCCTTTACTCTGTTTAATAGAGCTCTGTCGTCCTGGATCCCTAAGCATTGTCCGTTTACTCTTTTGATGACAAAAGTAATGTATAGTTATTATAGAAATATAATAACTGGAAAATGAAATAAAACTCCAAAAAAAGGGAAAATTGCATGTGATTCCATCACCCAGAGATTTACTGTTAATGTTTTGATAGATACCCTTCCTATGTTTTTTTTCTCTGTGTGTGTTTGTGTGTATATAAACAGAAACTTGGCTCATACTATATGCAGTTTAATTAGTTGACTTTTTTACTTACTATTGTCTGATTTTTTAATTATGATTTTTGATGGTTCTCTGAATTGTTGTTGTAGAAATGGAAACTAATGTCTCATACCAATCCCACATTTAGGGAAATTTATGTATTTTTTGTAAATAAGTGTCTATGTGTGAGTGTGGGCTTCCAGACATATCTAACGTTTTGTTATGCTCTGTAACAAATAATAACAAATACTGTAACAATTTCTGCTCTTGTCAGCAGTATGTAAAGGGGCTCAGGAAAGGAGTTTATTGAAAAAAATTTTTTTACCCCTTTCCTAGGTAACAAATTGCGTATGTTTGCATTTATTTGATTATTGTGAGATTTGACCTGTTTTTCCTTATTCATTGACTCTTTGTATTTCTTCTTTTTTTGAAGTGCCACTTTTTTGTATTTTGCCTCTTTTTCTATTAAAATATTTATTTTTCTATTGATTTATTAGAACTCATATATAAGGATATGAGAGTAGTAACCTTTTATTTTATGATTTTTCTCCCCGGTTTTTCTGTTTCAACATTGCTTATGGCTTTTTTCCCAATGTATAGAATTTTGGAGATTTTATCACATAAAATCTGTTAACCTCTTTGAAAAATATAAGTCCTTATACATATGACTAGAAAGCTTTCCCTCCAGTGTCAGATGATTAACCTTTTTATTTTCTTCTCATTCTGGGATGCATTGGTAACTTTTATAGTAAAACTTGCTAGAGAGATCTCAGTGGCTTTATTTTACTGGGCAGTGTCAGCTTTCCTAGGCTGTACCTGCATTGCAAAGAAGTAACTCAGCAAGGATTTTTTTTTTAGAAAAAGATTAGGAATTTTTCATTGATTTGCCTCTGTCTCTGCTGCCCGGCGCTGCGTGGGCTTCTCTCTGTTGCGAGCGGGCCCCCTTCCCCGCGACCCCGGCTCCAGGGGGGCCGCACTGGTTGCGGGGCGCAGGCTCCGGAGCTCAGGGTCCTGGAGCGTGGGCGCAGTGGGACCTTCCTGGACCAAGGAGCAAGCCTGTGCTTCTGCATCGGCAGGCAGATTCTGTACCGCTGGGCCAGCAGGGAAGCCCTCAGCCATGCTTTCCACCGCCCCGACCCAAGCTGGTTTAGTTTTAATGAAGGAAGATTGCTTTCCATTCCTGTGTTGGCCTCCGCCACATCACATGGATCAGCGCAGGCTCATGTCAGCTCCTCCCTCCTCACCTGCCGCCCACCGCCCACCCCTCCCCACCGCTCTGGGGAGTTCCGGAGCCCCAGCTTGGGCTCCCTGAGTCACACAGAAAACTCTCACTGGTTATTATTTTACACGTGGTGGTGTGTAAGCTTCCATGTCACTCTCTCCATTCTGTTTTCAATGACTTGTCTGCGTCTGTGGTCCTCTCTGAGGCTGATGGGAATAATTGCTTGGAAAATAAGTTTTTACTGAAAGAGGAGGCAAGAAACTGAAGTCCCAAGTAATTTTCTGCAAAAATTTGAAACAGACACCTTAAGTAAAATTGTTATAAATAATATGACTATATTCCCTGTATAACTATGTTATTACAGCCTAAAGTATGTAAATGAATATATTGCAAAGTATTAATGTCACTGAAACAACCACACTTGTGATGGTCTGGAAGTTTTTTGTCTATTAAGTGTTTCATTTCTTCAATATCAAGGTTCTTGCTATATTTTTGGACAAATTTTGCTTTCAAAATAGGGTTCACTGTTAGTTGATTTCCAGAACATCCTAGAGGCCCCCTCTCTACTTTGGGAGAGAGCGTGCAGTTTAGTGCTAAATCAGATAGTAGTATTACTTTATGTTCGGTCGCTTCCTATTCGCGCGGTTTGATTTTTGATGAGCTTCTTAGAGGAGTTCCGTGCTGATGCCCCGGGATAGCCGGAGAGGAGCTCGGGCCTCCGCCGCCACCAAGCCAGGCCTCACGTGCAGTTTGCACTCAGACAGGGTGTTTGATGCTCAGGGCCTTTTTAAATGGAGTTACTGGTTTTGCAGGGTTTCTCCAAAGAAATTAAAATACCTAAAACCAAATATGTTGGCTACATCAAGGATTATGAAGGCGCCACTTTAATGGGATGTGAGCTAAATCCACGGATCCCATACACCGAGTTCTCTGTCATCATTAAGAAGCAGAAGGAGGTAAGCGTGTGGCCGACTCGGGTTCCCTCTGCACAGACCAGGCTCCTCTGGGCCGCGGTGCGCACCCCTGGGCCCCGGGGGTGGGGGGGTGGGTGTCTGCTGGACACCAGGACCTCTGCTTGCCCTGCTCTGTCTGGATTTCTTCTTCTTCACCTCCTGTCTGCATCACCACTTTGAAGCAGGGGTCAGTACCTATTAAATTGGTGTAAAATACAGTGGTTTTATCTTCAAGGCCTCTTACATGCCGGCCCCATGCCTTCTTCCCAGACTCGTCTCTTTATTCCCTTTTCTAAACTGCTCTCCAAGGCTGTTACTGACGCTCTAACCCTTTCACGTGGTGTCTTCACCCTTCACTGACTTCCTCTCCCAGTTCACGCGTGCACACACACACACACCACTTCTGCCTGTGTTCCATTCCTCTTTGACCCTCTCAAGCACTAGTTTGATCCACTCATTTGGACTTCAGTCACTCATCATCTTCCATATTTATCTCAGTGTGTATTCATCTCTCTTTTCCATTGCAAGTTCTGAAAGTGTATTCTTCCAGATATTAAATGATTTGTGATCTGGAGAGAACTTTTTTTTTTGGCCACACCACATAGCTTGCAGAGCCTTAGTTCCCTGACCAGGGGTTGAACCCACGCCCCCTGCAGTGGATGTGCGGAGTCTTAACCAAGGGACCCCCAGGCAAGTCCCAGGAGATTTGTCCTCTGATACTGGGGTCAAGCCTTTTATGCGTATGAACTAAGAGAAGGGGTGAAGGGAAGGTTGATGGACTTGATTACATAACAAGTTTCACATTTCTGTAGGACAGGAGAAAGAAACATAAAGGCATAGTTAGGGGAGCACAACACGGGCCGTTTATTAAACGAGTGAACTTTACGTAGTAAACCAAGGGTCACCCTCCCGGCCCCTAGCTCTTGGAGTTCAAACACTGGGAAATCGCGCCCCACGCCAATCCCGCTTTGTACCTGTCTGTCAGTTTGCTTCCGTCAAGTCCGAGTCTCTGCGACCATATGCACCAACCCTAACCCTAACCCTAACCCCCAGGCTCCTCCGGCCGTGGGGTTCTCCAGGCAAGAACACTGGGCTGGGTTGCAAGGCCCTCCTCCAGGGGATCTTCCCGATCCGGGATCCAGCTCGCATCTCCTGCGTCTCCTGCAGTGTAGGTGGACACTGGGAGCCCCAGCCCCGCTTTATTCTTCTGTCACTCAGTCAGAGGCGCCTTGCTGCTGCTGCTGCTGAGTCGCTGTAGTCGTGTCCGACTCTGTGCGACCCCATAGACGGCAGCCCACCAGGCTCCTGTCCCTGGGGTTCTCCAGGCAAGAACCCTGGAGTGGGCTGCCATTTCCTTCTCCAGTGCATGAAAGTGAAAAGTGAAAGTGCAGTCGCTCAGTCGTGTCTGACTCTGTGCGACCCCATAGACGGCTGCCCACCAAGCACCCCGTCCCTGGGATTCTCCAGGCAAGAACACTGGAGTGGGCTGCCATTTCCTTCTCCAGTGCATGAAAGGGAAAAGTGAAAGTGCAGTCGCTCAGTCGTGTCTGACTCTTAGTGAGCCCATGGACTGCAGCCCACCAGGCTTCTCTGTCCATGGGATTTTCCAGGCAAGAGGACTGCAGGTGCTTTGTTCTAGTGAGTAACAAAAAGGACATCTGCCTCAGGCCTGTCTTTGTTCTCTGGTTTCTGTTCTGTGCCTCGATCCCAGTTCTTAGTTCCTGGTCGATGACTCTGACGTTGCAGAGATAAAGCCGCCTTCTCAGGGTGTGTCCTAAGAACCAGGTGCTCCGCGAGTGCTTCCCTTTTAGTTAAAGCAGCTCAGACTTCTCCATACACGTCCCACGGAAGTGAGCCAAAGGCTTTTTATTAAACTAGAAAGTAGAAGCAGCCTCTGTTGTTTCTCGGGCAGAGGTTCCAGCATGAGGCGGAGTTCCGAGCCGTGTGCTAGTAGCTGGCACCCGGCTCCCCGTGCCCCATGTCCCCGGCCCCTTGGTCCCCACTCTTCCCCGCTCCCTGCATCCCCACGTTCCCACCGTGGAGGCCAGAGCGGGACCCCGCGGGGTCCGCAGGCTTCGAGTCCAGACCGCTGGGTTGGGGACCCTCTGTCCGGGCTGTCTTGGGTCCAGCGGAGCCTGGCGTTGGAGAAGACAAGGCCCCCCCCCCCGTCCCCTTGAGTCCCCCACCTCAGTTTCCAACGTCTCCAGCAGGCACCCCCGAATGCAGCTGTTCACCTCCTCCTTTTAAAAGAGCTCGAAACTCACCTTAGTGAGGTTCTTGGATTTACCTAGTGACCTCTGTAGAATTCAGGTGATTGTCACACGTGCCGTTCAGTCCAGCTCTGGAAGGCCCTGAGGAGGGCGGGATGGACGGTGCTCAGGAGCAGACAGGCAGGCGGATGTCCTCCCCCCGGGGCGCAGGAGCAGAGGCCGCCGGGTGCAGACGGGGACCAGGACTGTGGCCGGGAGGCTGAGCGCTGGGGTGAGCGCAGACCCGGGGTGCAGAGGGCCCGGCATCACCTGCGTCACCGGAGGGGCCAGGGGACCCGGAAGGCTGTCAGCAGGAGCAGACGAGGCCCCTGGGCCCCGGAGCGCCTGGAGCCCGAGGCGTGCGCATGATAAGCGCCTCTGAGAAAGGGTGGCCAGGCGGGAGCGGGCAGGACGGAGTAGGGGGTGTGTGGGGCTGGAGGAGGGTCGGCTCTAAGCTCGGTTCACGCGTGAGGCTGCCGCCCAGGGCTCGGAGGAGCCAAAGAGGGAAGAAGAGCAGCGGGTCTTTTGTAGGAAGACATCGTGCAACTTGGTGAAATATAAAAGTAGGTGATATGCCCCCTGATTCTCTGTTTGGGAAGACGAAAAAAGACAAAACTGGAATGAAAGATGGATTTGAGGATACGGAGATGAAGACATGGTGATGAACTGAAGAGAGTTTCTAGGGAGGCGATGATAAGAAGCTAGAGTGGGATTGAAAGGTCTGCTTTCTAAAGTGATCCTCAGGGTCTGAGAGGTTGGGTAGCCCCCCACCCCAACATTACCAGTCACCTCAAGGTGCTCCGTGAGGGGGTGGAAGCCGCCTGTTCAGTTATCACATCTGAGAGCATCTTTGGTGAAGAGAAAAAAGCATTTAAAGCTGTGTTTGAAATTAAGTTTTCTGAAGGACTTCATTTAAGAAATTGCCATTGTGACTCTTTGAAAAAAATTTATATTGAAATATAGTTGATTGACAGTGTTGGTGTTAGTTTCAGGTGTATAGCAAAGTGATTGAGTGTTTTACACACACACACACACACATTAATATTTTTTCCCATGTAGATTCTTATGAAATATTGAGTAGAGTTCTCTATCTTATGCAGTAGGTCCTTGCTGTCTGTTTTTTATATGGCAGTGTGCATCTGTTAATCCCAAATTCCCAGTTTATTCTTCCCCCTCCTCTCCTTCAGTAATTTTAAGTTTGTTTTCTATCTGCAAGCCTGTTTGTGCTTTGTAAATAAGTTCATTTGTATCAACTTTTTTAGATTCCACATATAAGTGATATCACATGGTATTTGTCTTTCTCTGACTTACTTCAGTTAGTATGATAATCTTTAGGTCCTTCCATGTTGTTGCAAATAGCATTATTTCATTCTTTTTTATGGCTGAGTAATGTTCCATTGTATACATGTTTCCAGAAATTCTTCTTTTTTTGGGTGGGGTGACTTCCACGTGGCATGTGGGACCTTAGTTGGAAGTGTGGAGTCTTAGCCACTGGCCCACCAGGGAAGTCCCGAGGAGTCTTTTTAAAAAGACCTGGACTTAACACCTAATGCAGAGCCTCCATTTAGAGTTGCCTGTCCACAGTAGTAGCCACTAGCCACATGTAGCTACTGGGTGCTAGCTGCATGGCCAGTCAAAACTGAGATGTTCTGTAAGTGTAAACTGCATTCTGATTTTGAAGACCTAGTGTGAATAAAAGCATGTAAAATATCTCATAGTTTTTTCTGTTGATTATATGCTGCAGTAACAGTATTTTAGATATATTGGGTTAAATAAAAATACATTGTTAAAATCAATTTCTTCTGTTTCTTTTTATTTTTTTTAAAGTAGCTACTGAAAAATTTTAAATTACTGAGTGGTTTACATGATGTTGGACAGCCCTGAGCAGATTTGCCACCAGTCTATCTTGCCACTTCTATTCATTTTATGAAGTCCTGTGTTTAATTGTTAAGATTATGTATTCATGCTGTAGCATTTACCAGTCTTCCATTTGAGATCAAGAAGTTAGCAACTTGAATTTTTTCATTAATTTGATTAATGACTGCTACTGTTTTAGTGTTTTCCAAAATTCTGCGCTGATATAGTTAATCTCGAGATGGTGGTCTTTGAGTTTGTTGTTGGTCTTTCTTTCCTTTTTTTGGCTGCTCTGTGCAGCATGCGGGGTCTTAGTTCTCTGACTAGGGATCAAACCTGTGCCCCTGCATCGGGAGCATGGAGTCCTCACCACTGCACCACTAGTCCCTTTCCCTCTTTAAAGGGAAAACCGCCCTGGAAGTGGTTACATCAGAACACTGGGTTTCCCTGGGGGCCCAGACGGTACAGAATCCAGCTGCAGCGTAGACCTGGGTGTGATTCCTGGGTTGGGAAGCTCTACTGGAGACAAACGGACTCCTCCCAAAACTCCCTAAACCATTCTGGCGGCCCCTGCCCTGACTGTGCTGCCTTCAGTCTGCAGAGCTGCTTTCTGGATGCGAGCGTGGTAGGTTGGGGCTGACGCCCTGAAACATGTGAGCGCCAGGGAGTCCGTCCTCCCTGGCCCTGGAGACTTGGTGCGTCCGCCTGCCGCTCAGGTGCTCGGGGCAGCTCGGGCCTGCGACGGCGAGGGAAGCCGAGGTGCCCGGCTGCAGGGCTGTGGCCGAGGCTCCGGGGGAGGGCCGAGATGACTGGCCCTTAGGCCGAAGAGGGCAGTGGGCTCTAGGGCAGTGCGGTCTCCCAATGCCGGCTTTTTTTCCGAGGGCAGGGGACGTTCAGCGACGGCTCTGTCAGTGACAGTAAGCGTGCATGGCCTCCTAGGATGTTTTCATGTCTCACCGTTTAATATCATTCACCCTTTTGTTTCCTAAAGACTTAATTTTGTTGGGAAAATAACTTCTTAGGTTGACTGACTTAAGCTGGAGCCACAAACTTCGGTCACTAAACTTGTTTCTTCTTGTGCTTTGCAGATCATTAAAAAGCTGATAGAAAGAAAACAAGCCCAGATTCGGAAAGTCTACCCTGGACTTTCCTGTTTTAAAGATGGAGTTCGGCAGATCCCGATAGAAAGCATTCCTGGAATTCGTATGTATTGATCTTCTAAAGGCAGAAGCTTCAGGTCGTGCCCCGAGACCCCGGCAGCAGCAGGCCGGAGCGCGGTGGTTCGGCGGCCGCCCGCCCGCCGTCTCTAGTTGGGATCCTGCGGTCTCGGAAGAGCGCAGTGCTCTCGTTTGCGTCTGCTCTGCTTCCGGGGCAGACAGACCACAGCGAGCAGGGCCCGGCTCCTGCTTTAGCTGTTGACGCATCGCTTTGAGAGCCTGTTGTTTGTGGCGCAGTGTTGGACGCTCCCACGGGTGACCTCACGGGCAGGGAATTCTGCTCATAGGGCTGGGAGGCTGAGGCCCAGGCTGGCTCAGCTCGTGGCCAGTGACCGCGGGAAGAGCAGCAGGCCTGCCTCCTCCAGGCGGCTTCCCGCCCACGCCCTTCTCCCGCCCCGGGCTGTCCGGGGCAGAGCTGTGCTCGGCCCAGCTTAGCGCCCTCGACTTGTAAACCAGGTGACCCGACAGTGTAACGCTGGTCTCAGGTTCCCTGTTTTAGAGTGGTTTTCCAAGGGTTCTTCTCTGAGTATGTTAGAAGTAAATTATATTGGGTTAAAACATATAAAATAGCTGTTTTTGTTGATCAGAAGCTATAAATGTTGGCACTTTGATTCAGTGCAAATCTAGGATCTTCTAGAGTATTTAAGATTAAATAAACAAAACTAAAATTCTCCAGAAGAAAATAAGACATTATTTGGGCCAGATAGACGTCTTCATTACAAAGTATACCGTACAGCAGATCTTACTTTCCTTGCTAGACCTGGAAATTTTACTTCTGTGTATTATCCTTATTAACGGTGTAATAGCTGCCTGTCACTGAACGTACGTGTGCCAAGCATTCTTATGTTTGTTTGTTTTTTTTTTAAATTTTTTATACATGCATCAACAAATCTCAAAAGGAATCAGCTCAGTTCTGGAGTCTGTCTTATACATTGATAAACAGAGGCAAGGGCTGACTAATACGGAGGGTAGCTTAGCTTTTAAGGAGAGAACAAAAAATCAAATCCAGGTCTGTTGGACTCCAGGCTGTGTCTTCTTCCTGCTGCCCGAGACCATCTTGCGTTACAAGCAGGTTCTGTGCCAAATAAAATAGAGAGCAGGACAGAGTTCTTTCCAACCTAAAATAACAGCTTAACTGTTTCACACGGTGATTAGCAGAAAATGTGACTTACAGCTTTAGAAATATACGTGCCCACAGGCCCAGACGTGCTGGTTTGTTATGCTTTCCTCTGAAAGGTTGGAGTTCCTGCTTTAAAAAAATAACTAGCAGATGGAGCAGTGCCAGTCTTGGGAATATATATCCAAGTGTGTAAGGAAGGAAAGAATTAATTGCAGTTAATTTCAGTCTCTCTTCAGAAGTAATCTTGTTTGAGTCATGGCTGTACGTTATTGCACTTTTATAAGTATTAACTGTGCTACTCTCTTGACCGAAAGCAGTTCTCACTCACTGTTTAATTTCGTTGGTGTGTGTAGGAGAGACAGGCTGGAAACCGAGCGGAAGAGAGAAGAGGTAAGTGTGATGGGCCAGAGGATACTGACGGAAGTGCTTTTATTTCCCCGCCCAGCAACTTAGAGAAAACAGGCAAATTGGTTGTAGTCACCACCACAGCACTCCTTAGGTTTCCCTTTTTGTAAAACACGCAGAAGTGGTTCTGGTCTTCAGTCTCTGTGCGGATGGGCTGGGTAGGCGTCGCCGGCAGGGGCAGCACGCTAACGCCTGTTCTCCTGTGTGCCCTTCCTTCCCAGCAGGGAGGCCCGGGACCCCGAGCAGCTGTACAGCACGCTCAGGAGCATCCTGCAGCAGGTGAAGGTGGGTGTGCGCCTCTCCTCCACTCCGCGCGGGTGTTTTGAAGTGATTTCCTGCATGGAATTGCCGTATTAGATACCTTACTTTTTTCTTTACCCAAGAGCCATCAAAGCGCTTGGCCCTTCATGGAACCCGTGAAGAGAACAGAAGCTCCGGGATATTATGAAGTTATAAGGTTCCCCATGGGTAATGCCATTAACATTTTCTAAGTATAGACTTAAAGCTCTGGATGGTGGTGTGGGGACAGACATTGCCGAGGGCGTGTTTCTCTGTCGTAGGGTAGGGCGCGTGAGCCGGGCAGTGGATGGTTAGGAGTGTCAGGGCAGGGACCGGGGAGCAGGGCGGGCAGGGGTCAGAGCAGGGACCGGGGTGAGCAGGGGTCAGAGCAGGGACCGGGGTGAGCGGGATGAGCAGGGGTCAGAGCAGGGACCAGGGTGAGCAGGGGGTCAGAGCAGGGACTGGGGTGAGCGGGGTGAGCAGGGGTCAGAGCAGGGACCGGGGTGAGCAGGGGGTCAGAGCAGGGACCGGGGTGAGCGGGGTGAGCAGGGGTCAGAGCAGGGACCGGGGAGCGGGGTGGGCAGGGGTCAGAGCAGGGACCGGGGAGCGGGGTGAGCAGGGGTCAGAGCAGGGACCGGGGTGAGCGGGGTGAGCAGGGGTCAGAGCAGGGACCGGGGAGCGGGGTGGGCAGGGGTCAGAGCAGGGACCGGGGAGCGGGGTGGGCAGGGGTCAGAGGAGGGAGTGGGCACCGGGCGGCCGTCTTCTTGGAGATGACTCTGCGCTGTTCTGTCAAGGCCGCTCTGTCAGCATGAGCTCAGACGGCACCAGAGGTGAAAGTATGCTGTTTGAACACAACCTTGCTTATAACCTGTTGGGCTGCAAGTGGAAAAGTGTCAGCTTGTCCCCTTGGTGGCTTTGAGAGCCTGAGAGATTTGGAAGGTAAACAGGTGAAGTTAGCTGACGCCGCTGGCCCGATGTCCTTGTAGACAGAAGTGATGAGCATTCCCGCTGCTTTGGCTCCCCCAGGCGCTCGGTGGAGACTGGGAGGCTTACTAATTACACTCCTGTTTTAAGCCTTGTTCCACATCCAAAACAAATAGAAGATGCCTTTAGAAATGTAGAACTGTGGAATTCGTTGCCGAGTCTGCACCAGGCTAAAATAGATGATTAATGGAGTCAGTTGAGAATCCCCAAATTAAACTAATGTGGCATCGTGCAAATTGAAGACCACTAGCTGAATTTCATTTTTTTCCCAATCAGTTAGTTGTGGGGCCATCTTTTGGGGAGCGAGATCTTCTGTCCCTTTTCTGCATGCGGCCTCCTGGGGCTGAGAGGGCGTTAGGAGGTGAAAGGAGAGGGAGTGGGACCCGCCGGCTCCCCTGGAGCAGTCGCTGGCGGATGCGTCTCTGGCCTTAGTCGTCTCAGGAGTGTTTCCACCGTGCAGCGGATGGCTCCCGTGGTCTCCAGGCCTTAGAGCGACCACGCATGCTTGCCGTTCTCTTTCCCTTTTCTCTCGGCCTTGTTCCCATGTGTTTCAGTCTGAAAGTCTGAGTGAGGGTGGAGAGAGTGGAGAATTCTAGATGGAAGGCTGACCTGGGCGTTGGTAATTCCCATGATGTGAAAAGGGCTTCCCAGGTGGCGCTGGTGGTAGAGAACCCGCCCGCCAGTGCAGGAGACACAAGAGAGGCGGGTTGGATCCCGGGTCGGGAAGACCCCCTGGAGGAGGGTCTGGCCACCTGCTCCAGTGTTTGCCTGGAGAACCCAGGGACAGAGAAGCCTGGGCACTGCAGTCCACGGGGTCCCAGAGAGTGGGACACAACTGAGCGACTCAGCACAGACACGAGACGTGAAAGATGTGCTGGAGCCCTCTACGCCCGTGTCCAGACCTCAGTGGCCTTTGCGGCCTTGTCACCGGGGCCACCCCAGGCCCTCCTGAGAACCGGCCCGGGATGTTCGTGCTCCCGGGGGGATGGTCCTCAGCCCTGTCCCCTGATTGTTACCACTGGTGTGCGATCACCTTCTTCTGTGACCCAGGCCATTTGGTCAACTGAAAGATTCTAAGAAGGTCAGAGGAAGGAAAATGCTGTCTGTCAGTTTAGAGGAGAAAGGAAATGGAGAAGGAAGCATGCAGCATTGATTGTCACTATTCAGAAAGGTCCAGACACTTCTGTGACTCTCCTTCTGCCATCCCCAGCTGTTCTTTCCTCCTCTCTTCCAAAGAATAGTTTGAAAAGGTGTAGGCTAAGCTTCTTTGTGTCAAGTTTCATTCTCCGCCCCACCGCGCCTGTTTTTGCTTGCACCTGTCTTCCTTCTAAACATTGCAGCGCGTTCTCAGCCGCCCTTAACTGGCGTTTAGGTGGAGGGAAGGGTAAGCCTCCAGTCTCCCCCAGGAGGACAGTGCTGCTTCATTAAACGAGAGCACATCCTCACCTGTCACACTTGGGAGACGGTTCCGGGGCGTCTGCTGAGCCTTCACACACTTTTCAATTTTTGTCTCCTTCCAAACTGTTTCAGTTAGAGAAGAAAGAAAGTGTAAAGTTGAACACACACACACACATGTGATGACTTATTTCTAACCAATATAGGCTTCAATCAAAGAATGAAAAAAAGATAGGCTTCAATCAAAGGAGACAGGGAAGCAGGTATTTCCCATGTCTCCTTTCGAATTTTGTGGTAGATTTAGGAAGGATCTTGATGCAAATCAGTTTCTGCCCACTTGAGATGTTGCACATAAATTTATTTATCTTATTAAATGATAATCCCAGTGTATTTGATTGTGTCTTTCCCTCTGGAAAATTTGATGATAGAGTGGGAATTTGGGTCATTGGTAGTCAGAAGCATTTCTTGAGTGGTTTTGACTCATGCTTAATTTATATATATATATTTTCATGCTTAGTTTATGTAGTTTTTCTCATATTCTTTTCCATTATGGTTTATTACAAGATATTGAATATAATTCCTTGTGCTACACACCTTGTTTATCTGTTTTATATCCAGTAGTGTATATCTGCTAATCCAGTTTAATAGTTGATATAATTTTTAATGATAGAACCAGACTTAGAGACAACTAGGGACCTATAAACAGACAAATGTCAGCATCTTCTAATCTGCATGGAATTCTTTAAATTGGTTCTGAGAGTGAGAATTAAAGAAGCCCCATTATATTCTTACAAATTTAGATGGAGCACTGTTTTCATTTGTAAAGTAATATTATTTAAAGCAAGTAGATATATTGGAGAAATATTCTTTTTACAATTGTCTTGCAAGGTTTACTTGCTTTAGAAAGTATTTCATTAAGTAAAGTTTGTCATTCTTATTTCATTAATGGAGCATGAAACTAAATTCACTGGAAACATTTTACATGCAAGGTCGCTGTTGTACTTGCAGATGTATTTATGATCTGTTTCCCTACTTTAGTTCTCTCTACAACACCAAAGCAACTGGGGATTTAGAGAAGCAAACTCATCCTGATTGTTTAAGTAATGAAATAATTCAATGCAAATGTTCCGCCCGCTGCACTCCATGTAGGTGGAGCCCATTCTCTATACTTCTGAGTGATCAGCTCACAGTACTTAGTTTATCGTACTTACCGCTGCTGATCTACTTAGCTTCCTCACACTGAATAGGGGATTGCACCAGATGACCACTCATGGTCCCTTCAGTGTTAAAACACTGATTTTGCACAGGATACCCTCACAGAAGAACACAAGCCTCAAGAACTGTTTTCCTTGATCATATGAATTTTCTCTTAAACAAACTATTGAGGTGGTGAAAATGTGGGCAGACTGATGACACATTTCTTTGCCAGTCTCACTTTTGTCAGCAAGTGTTTGAAAGGAGTCAAAAATTGCTAATTTTTTTTTCCCTGTGTAGATCTGAAAACCATGAGTGAACGCCTCAAGAATAGGTACTACGTGTCTAAGAAATTGTTCATGGCAGACTTGCAGCGAGTCTTTACCAATTGCAAAGAGTACAACCCCCCTGAGAGTGAATACTACAAATGTGCCAATATCCTGGAGAAATTCTTCTTCAGTAAAATTAAGGAAGCTGGATTAATTGACAAGTGATATTTTTTTCCTCTGCTTCTTAGAAACTCATCAAACAGTGTGCCTAAAGCATGGTTTAGTTTTACAAAGAATTGGACATAATGTATTGAAGATACTTGTAACAATTAGCACTTTTGAAAAACAAAAAACCTCCTCTTAGCTTTTCAGATGTGTATTTAAATTGAAGTCATAGAACATTTTTATTTTATGGAATAGATTTTAATCTATTTACTATTATTAATGTCAATTTTCTATGGCATGTCCATTAGCTGAATATTGAGTACTAGATGATCAGGGGTTTCCTCACAGCTTGTACATGAGGAAAGTGCACACAGTACCACGACTTGGGGGATGCAGAAAGTTTTCAGACCGCGAATGTTTCCATTTTTTTCTAATGGAATGTGAGAGTTTATTTTTATTTTATTCTGAAGGACTTTAAAGGAAGGGATACATGATAAAAAGCCCATAAAAGGTGAAACATGATGTTTGAAGTCTCATGGTAGACTTTTTATATATATTTTTAAAAAACACTCATCTAGATGAGGTGCTTTGAGCAGTTCTGAAAAATGCAGTTCCAGAAAAGCAACTGCTTTGATTTCTAAAGAAGAAATTCTAAACAATGCAGACTTTTTTTTTTATAAGCGTCTGGGTTTTTGATAATTCTGTCTACCTATAACAAACTTGTGAGTGCATAACCACTATTTTAATAATTATTTTCTCTACATGAGTCTGTAATACTATATTTGACTTTGCTTATGCAGGCCATAAGTTCCAAAAGGCAATTTCTTGGGCCACAAAGGCATCCATTTGAAAACACTTGAGATTGAATTAACATGCTTTAATTTAAAAAGATGTATAATCTATATTATGGATCAAATTTAGTGAATCCTTTGCTTTTTTTAACAAATAAAGATTTTTCCCCTTTTCTACAATATACTCAGCCCAACTGATAATGTGTTTATGGACACTTGTCCTTTGGCGTCTCCAGATTATATTCATGTTTGGAGATGAATTCAGTTACCACCAAGATCTTCTGTCAGTATTTTAACACCTGCTTTGGTACAGGGTAATAATATCCCACTAAAATCCGTCATAAAACCTTGTTAACCTGTCTTGGGATTCCAGCTTCTTGCTGGGATTTATTTCCTGATTAACACTACACTGAAAAGTGGGACGTCTGCAACCCCAGCTCTGGGAGAACCAACTCATAAAGCAAACGGTGGCCATCTTGATGGTCTCGACACTAATTTTTATGATACAAATTTATAAACTGCTTTTTGTAAAGGACTAGGTTTTAAAAGTGTCTGTAACTCAGTGCTTTCTATCAGCATAAACTAACTGAAATGATCATTTGATAACCATTAGATACAGTTGCCAGAGAGTGCGTGAAGGAAAAAGCCCTGCAGATAGCTGTGGAGTTGGAAGGATGGTTTTTAATGTTTAAGATACACTCAGAATGCTCACAACTGAGAAATGCCTCAACTTTTTAAAGAAACCACCTTGAGTGGCATCTAGATTTCTAATGAAGAAGAATGATAGAGTTTGGATTAAGTATCTTGGACTGGTATTAAACAGTGCTTTGTCCTGGATCTGCTGAAGCACCTGACCAGCACGGTGTCCTGTGAAATGTTTGTTATTTTCTGGGTAGACATTCTTATAGAATATTGTCTTTAAAATCAGATTGTCTCTTCTATATTGAAAGCATTTTTATGTTTTCTAATTTAAAAATTAATATTTTCTTATAGATACTGTGCAATAAAGCTGAAGTAGGATGTGTGGTTTTTGCAAATGCTTTAACAGCGGATAAAATTTTACATTTGTAAAATTAATATATTGTACTGGTACAAAATAGTTTTAAATTATATTTTAAAAAGCTCTGTCTGCTGGTGTGTTTTCTTCTGACAGATTTGTGTTTAACAGGGCAAATGTGTGATCTGGTTAATGACTGACTACATCCTTAGTTCTTAGGATGCAGTACTTTGAGGGAGGTGTTCAGAATTGTTGCATTTGTGGGAAGTTTCATAAAAATTCACAGCCCATTACTGAGAGATTTTCAAGAGGAGAGACACTTACTGTGCCTATTGTCACTTATTAAAAAAGAAAAAAAATCCAGCTAAAGAAGTGGTCTTGGTTTTAGAAGCAGCCACCCCATGCCCCAGTTTTTCCTGCATCTGTGAGATAGATGAATAAGGAGACACCACCCCTGCCCCCCCAAAACATAACAGCTGATGTTTAGACATCTCCCATAGGTTTCTAATGTTACTCACAGTGCTGAAAAAACTATTTCGTACTGGGTACTAGGTATCAGTACCCACCAAAGAGCATCACTCTTCCTTTCTGAATTCTGAGTCATCTTAGCAGCTGAAGGAATGAGGTGCACGATGGCCAGAATATTTTAATACCAGAATGCATATCGGAGATGGTGACTTATATATAAGAGATGGTGACTTCCGTATCTGTGGGAGATGGGCTAATAACCTCGGGCTGTGGCTGACTGACCAGCAGCTCCACACCCCGTCACATCCCCCCCGGGTCAGGGCCTTTCCCCTTAAGCTCCGTGCTTGGCCCCGGGCAGCGATGCCCTCCACAGCAGGCCCGCTCCGAGGACGCACAGGAGAGGAAGGAGTGGCCAGCCCAGGCCAGGTCCTCGTCTCAGCGAGTCTGAGGCGAGCTGCTCCCGGGATGGGGGGCAGGCGTGGGGAGCCGCTGGCGTCCTCCTGGGGGCTGTGAACACGTAGAAGGCGACTGTCTCCCTCCCACCCCAGCCCATACATCCACGGTCAGCAGTCTCAGTAAAAATGTTTTGGTGGTTCAACTCTGGTAGTATTCATTATAAGAGAAGAAAGCATTGTGGTTTTCATGTTACCTGGAAGTAAAATTTATAATTATGGAACCTCAGAAGTAGAACCAGGATCAGACTGCAGTATTGTGGTCAGCTTAATGACGTGTCACCCCTCTCAGCTGGTGTTTCTCAGACTGACCCTCGTGGTTTTATGTAAGAGATGCTGAAGCGGCCACTAGCCGCGGTCCTCGGTGTTCTGAGCTGCTCCGCTCTGGCCCTGCCTTTACCTTTCTTAAGAAAGTAGAAAACCCGAAGGGAAGACCAATGCCACTATGGAATCTCAAAAAGGATGATGGTTGCACGTTTGCAATTCAGTCCACTCACTCAGTCGTGTCCGACTCTGTGACCCCATGGACTGCAGCACGCCAGACCTCCCTGTCCATCACCAACTCCCGGAGTTGGCTGAAACTCATGTCCATTGAGTCAGTGATGCCATCCAACCATCTCCTCTGTTGTCCCCTTCTCCTCCCACCCTCAATATTTCCCAGCATCAGGGTCTTTTCAAATGAGTCTGCTCTCCGCATCAGGTGACCAAAGTATTGGAGTATCAGCTTCAGCATCAGTCGTTCAATGAATATTCAGGATTGATCTTTAGGATGGCCTGGTTGGATTGCCTCACAGCCCAAGGGACTCTCAAGAGGCTTCTCCAACACCACAGTTCAAAAGCATCAAATTAAGGTAACTTTTTTTTATCATCATGAAATATATGTTTAGATTTGTTGACTATTCATTTATCCCTGACTGGAAAAGAGGGATGTGTTTGCAGAGGTGGAGGTTGGGGTGGAGGACAGCGGCAGGGAAAGAACGCGGTGCCTTTACCTGAGTCTCCAGGCTTTTAGGGAAGCTTTCTCCTTTGGGTGCGTCAGTGCTGTTAGTATGAGATGGAGGCCGACAGGGGAAATTACGGTCAGTAATGAAGCGAAAAGCAAAGGAGACAAGGAAAGACATACCCATTTGAATGCATAGTTCCAAAGAATAGCCAGGAGAGATAATAAAGCCTTCCTCAGCAATCAATGCAAAGAAATAGAGGAAAACAATAGAATGCGAAAGACTAGAGATGTCATCAAGAAAATTAGAAATACCAAGGAAACCTTTCATGCAAAGATGGACACAATAAAGGACAGAAATGGTAGGGACCTAACAGAAACAAAATAATAAGACGAGGTGGCAAGAATACACAGAAGAACTGTACAGAAAAGATCTTCATGACCCAGATAATCACAATGGTGTGATCACTTACCTAGAGCCAGACATCCTGGAATGTGAAGTCAAGTGGGCCTTAGGAAGCATCACGACGAACAAAGCTAGTGGAGGTGATGGAATTCTGGTTGAGCTATTTCAAATCCTGAAAGATGACATTGTGAAAGTGCTGCACTCAATATGCCAGCACATTTGGAAAACTCAGCAGTGGCCACAGGACTGGAAAAGGTCAGTTTTCATTCCAATCCCAAAGAAAGGCAAGGCCAAAGAATGTTCAAACTATTGCACAACTGCACTCATCTCACACATTAGCAAAGCAATGCTCAAAATTCTCCAAGCCAGACTTCAACAGTATGTGAACCGTGAACTTCAAGATGTTCAAGCTGGATTTAGAAAAGGCAGAGGAACCAGAGATCAAATTGCCAACATCTGCTGGATCATCGAAAAAGCAGAAG